GGAGTTAAGTTTTGCTTGATTGTGGCTAGAGTCAGCCTGACTGTACGGTCAGTGGTTGTGCTCAGAAGCTTTAGAATTGAGCATAAACCTTCTTTTTTTGTGGACTCTGAAAATGTAAGATTCATACTCAACAAATTGTTTTTTAAAAAGATCATAGTTGTTCCTTTTTATTAATTTTAAATTTGTGTCTCTTACTGTAAAATTGGAAAAGACATGAAATCTGTTTGGATTTTTAACTACTATAATAGATTTGATCCCAGCTTTTTTCCATAAAAATGAACACTTTTATCGTGCAATAAAAAAAATAAAAGATATCGGACAGTTTGATGTTGGAGAAAAGTGTAAAAAGAAAAATGGCTTTGATGTGGAAGGAGTTTATTTTTAAATACATTTTGCTTTTCATTAGTTTAAGCTTAGTCACTCATTCTTACTTTTTGTTACTAAATCTTAATCTACCTCATTGTTTTTTCATACGTTTTGCTTTTCATTAGTTTAAGCTTAGTCACTCATTCTTAGTTTTTGTTACTAAATTTTAATAATTTGTTTTGAGAAATACTATAATGCCCCTGTTACTGTTAAAATGGTAATCAGAGATGTTGTCTCTATGCTGTGATAATAGTTTAAGTGATACTTCTGATTGGTTGTTGGTAACAGTTTTCATTCAGTCATTCTCAATTATGCCTTAGCAAAATCAAACATTTTTTTTTTTTTGGAGATTGAATCAAAACTGTGACAACTGACTCTGGACATAATAGAAGTCTGTTGACATTTTTCACATTCTCATTTCTTTGTTGAGGACCGAGTAACTAGTAAATATTTTTATGTCATTATCAGAATTTATTTTTGGATTCAAATACAAAACTTTAATGGTCATCAAGGAAGGAAGTAATTTTGAGTCAGCATTGTAAATCTTGTACGGCTTATTTAACAGTATGTTTAATTTCTGTACATAATAAACATTCCGTCACCTGGGGCAACCCGACCCTATTCAGCTTCTTTTTGTTTAATGTAGCCTACATGTTTTTACTCCCCTCTGACACTATTTTGGTATTTAAATCTTTTTAAAAAAATTTTTTTTTGGGGGGGGGGCTCTGACCCTGTCTGTCAAACCCAGGCTGAGAGGGATGCAACTTCTTTGCAGAAAGAAAAAGATAACAATTTCTCCTCCCAGTGTAATCGACCGCGGGTCTTCTGTGTTTTAACGGCAAAGCGTCTAACCATTGTGTCCCCTCTCTCTCTGTCTCTCTCTCTCTCTCTCTCTCTCTCTCTCTCTCTCTCTCTCTCTCTCTCTCTCTCTCTCTCTCTCTCTCTCTCTCTCTCTCTCTCTCTCTCTCTCACACACTCTCTCTCTCTCTCTCTCTCTCTCTCTCTCTCTCTCACATTCATATCATGTTTGGGAGTAGGTGTGGGACGGGGAGTTGGGGAGTGGTTAGTGAGTGGAGAAGCGGGTAGGGAGTACGTTGAGCGGGATGGGGATGAGATATGCCAGGAAGTAGGGGAATGGGTAGGGTGGGGCGGGCAATTTGCGTCCTTTAAAACTCGTTTGAACCTGTCTTCTTGTGTGTCAAATGGATTATATTTGGTGGCACTTGCACCCAATGCTATCAATCCCCACATTGTCACTGAAGAAAGTCCCCCCCCCCCCCAACCTCTCTTTCACTTTCCCCTCACCCGACCCGCCATCTGTGTTTCAATTTTTCACCACCCCGCTCCCTTTATTTCACCCCCCCCCCCCCCCACACACACACACTCTTTTGTCTTATTCACCAAGAGATCTTTAACGTGCCCAACTTGCACACAGGACCTCCACCGAGATATTCCGCCCTTATCCAAGACGGCTAGGTGTAAGATCTTACCTACCATAACATCAGGGGTGTGACTGAAAGACAGCAGGTAGAAGGAGCTAAGGAGTAGCTGTAGAAAGACTGCAGAAAGAGTCAGGAGCCCAGAGGAGGGGGCAGAGGAGATGACGGGTGGGGACAAAAAGGAGAGACGAAAGCAGACGACAAAAAAAAATTGTGAGAGAGCAGGAAAGGAGGTGAAAAGAAAAATAAATAATATTTTAGAGAAGAAATTTGTCCGTCACTGTCCGGATGCGAACCCGGGACTTAATATGAGAGGAAAACAACGTAACCTCTCGACCACAGGAGCTCCCACCCCACTCACTTCTCAAACACAGTCTCTTTCTCGGAGGAACAGTTACAGAAATATTTCACTTGATTAATTGCCGCGTGCTCACGCGTGTGTATGTGTGTGTGTGTGTGTGTGAGAGAGAGAGAGAAGAGAGAGGGGGATGGTTGTTGCAAGCGTTCACTGGCGGCAAAACTATCAATACGCATGTAGTCTACATGTACAAAACTTCTGTGAACCACCCACCCTCTCAATGCTGCTGATTACACTGTATTCTCGAGTGCGGTGGCATGTCCTTTACTCTCACAGTACATTGTATAACAATGTCCATTATAAACAAACTTTAGATCAATAAAATCCCTTGAATGTTTAATAGAGAAAAGAACATTTTATACAGTTACGTTTTACTAATACAGTCGACTCCGCTTGTGTTGATCTTTTTCGCGGGTTCCAGCACCTCTTCTTCCTTTGGGTGCAGAGTAGAGTCACCCAGCACAACCTTTTCCCCTCCCCTTGCTCTCACCATTTGAGCGGGTGGTTGAAGGGTACCACTGGTAGGTCCTACTTCTTTACTTTCCTTTTGTTGTTGTTTCTGCCCTCCCCCCCCCCCCCCCCCCCAAGGGCAGTGTGTCTTTAGGCCATTCCCAAAGGGGGGACATTTCTCGTTCAAGCATAGTAGAATTGTAAATGGGCTGACTCATGTCACGCTCATAACTGTGCCTGATCTACAACAGGGAACTGCTGCTTTTTCTTTCCTGATCCTTACTATTGTCATTTTCCTCTACTTCTTTTGTATGTTTGTCACTCCCTAATTGTGACCTTCTACATGTATTTTGGGGTGCCTTGATAGTCGAAGCAGACCTTGTGCTGTTGGAGCTAAAGAGGTGAGCAGTCTAAGTCTGATTCCCTGTAAAGACTTCTCCTTTGACACCCACCCCTTGTCGCTCATATGACCTTATGCAGTTGCGAGCACCGTAAAATCCTCTACTTTACTACTACTAGTTGTTTCTGTATGTCTGTCTTACTTTTCCCCAGCACTCAATGACCATCATTGTGTCGACGTGCTGTTCTTTACTCAAAGTCTCCTTTTTAGGCTAGCAAAGTGAGAGGTTGAGATTAAGGGGCCCGTCGGAGACGGAGTAGAGACCTCTCCCTTTTGTCTACGTTCCTTGTCAGTTTGAAATATGAACGAAGAAGGTACATGAGCTTCGATGGAGGGTCTGCCGGCGCTGAATATGAATATGGCGAATATCATCCGTCGACAAAGTGCGTTCAGATGAGGCGCAAGGTTTAATTTTATACACACAAGAATGAGCCCTACATTCCAAAGTCAAACTCAGTGTCGGGCTATATTTGGAAAAAAGGAGAACCAACTTTGGACACTGTGGTAGTGGATATATATACATATACACTTAACATCAAAATAGCCTACATGTGTATCAATTATTGCTAATCGCTAGAAAAGTATAAAAAATCTAGTGCTGCCATAAAATGTCTCACCCCAAGATTATTAATTGGTGTTTGCATAGTGAAAGGTGAAAGGGCGAGGCGAGATTGGTGACTCTACACCGAGAATGCATACTTCCTGTAGACTAAATAAATTCGCCCCTCACCAAATTGGTGCGAGCTACTAGCAAATTGGTGCTGGTGAGAAGTGACTCTTGTTTGTTTTGTTAAGTGTATTACGACGCTCGTAACTGTATAAAAGGTCATAATAATGAGCGCGCTGGACACGTTAATCTTTTTTTTTTTTAATTTGGTAGGAATTTATTTTGAATTTTGCCCAGGTGGCGGCCGAAAACCACTCATAGATTTTTGCACCACCAATGGATTTTTAACGTGAGCACCTTGCACACAGGACCCCCCCCCCGAGATTGTTCGCCCTTATCCGAAGAGGCAAGGTGTTGATGATGGGGATGATCGGAGGGGGACACGAGCAGACCTCACGTCTTTATTCCCTCTCACTGCCCTTTTGTTACTCTTCTAATTGTCGGCATTTATATGACCTTATTGTGTTGCAAGTGCCGTGAAACTCTTACAAAAAACAAAAAAAAAGAATGGCGGTTATTATTGTGCTGTTGTGCTTCTGATTATTGCTCAAACAAATAAAGTCAAGCTTTTCTCCAATCTCCTTTTTGCGTTTGCACACACACACACACACACACACACACAGGGAGGGAGGGACAGAGAGAGAGAGAGAGAGAGATAGAGAGAGAGAGAGAGAGCTAGAAAGAGAGAGAGAGAGAGAGAGAGAGAGAGCTAGAGAGAGAGAGAGAGAGAGAGCTAGAGAGAATTAAGACATTGTCTTAGATTGTTATTTGATCTGAAACTTCTGACCTTTTTTACGGACATACTTTTCATGAAAAGTTGTTCATAGGCCTGCTATTTAATTATCATCAATCTCTTTTTTTTAGGTTTGAGGCATAAAACCGAGACGGCAAATGCCAAATGCTGCCATGGCAACAACGTAACCAAACTCGCCCAAATTACTTTAAAAAATATTACACACGCTCCTTAAAAGACGAAATACATCATGTACATGAGCACAATAGATCATCTTCATCTTGGTCCTTGGCCTTTAACGCATTCAATGAGAATCTATTGGTTTCTGGGATTTTACTCAAGACAGGTTTTTTTTTTTTAATGGGAAAAAGAGTAGGCTAAATCAGGGCGTTAGTCCATCAAATCAACACGCACTTGATGACACCGATCGTGAAGCGCTGTTTTTGATACTGTTGTCAAAAGTTCTTTCTCCGATGAATACATCGTGGCCCGCAGCCGCGGTGTGTCGACAGAGGTAGATGACCTGCTGACCCTTCCTTCACCCTGATGACCGGAAGCGAGCAAAACAAAATCCACGGCGGCAGAGACAGTGTAGACGTGAGAAAACATGGCAGAGATGGAAAACGATTTCCATTTTCCGAATCTGCGCCTTCAGCGCAAAATGCATAGAATCTAGATTCTAGATCTAGATTTGGAGTCTCAAGAATAGATTCTAACACCGAGTTTGAAAATCAGGAGCAAATTATACAGGCGCATCCAAGACAACTTTAACGTTCAACGTCAACGATCTAAAATCTAGAAATCTAGTCTAGCGGGAGATGAACCAGTTTCAGTGAGTAGCCTATAACATTAGAGTAACTTTTCAACTTTTTGGCCGACTTTCCATGGTCGTTTGTTGCTCGATTGTCGAGACTTCGCACTAATAATTAAAGAGGCCTACTGAATTGTTTTATGTTTAAAAAAAAAGGAGTAGATCTACAAATTCTAATTCTATTTTTTCTAGATTTCATTTCATGTGGTTTGGCAAGTTTGGGGGGGATTTATCATTCATTCCATTTCCATTCATCATATAGATCTATATTCATTGACATGACTCTCTCTTCCTGGCATTTTATTCGACATAGATCTAGGCCTAATAGATCTAGAAACTAGATGTATTTCTAGATCTAGATCTAGATCTAGATTATATATGATTTTCAGTACTTCTTTTTGTACCCTACTTTCCGCCCGAACGATTTTGGCACAAAAACTGTTGCAAACTTATTTTTGTTTGTTTGAGACTTCAGCAAGGGGGAGAACCTCCTGCTATCCCCCACCCTTTTTGTTGCCATTTTACTATTTTCCTATTTCAGGGGGACCCCCCCCCCCCTTTTTCCTATTTCAGGGGGATCCCCCCCCTTCCCCGTTCTTTCAGGACAAAAAAACCTCAAAACTGGACTGACAACCAAAATGACGGAAGGTAGGCCTAGGCAAAGATAGTACATAACAAGATGGGCCACTCAGCCAAAAAAGTGTCCGCTGGAAGTCCGCTCTTTGCTTCAGATGGCGCTGCAGTCTGTTTTGAAGCTCTCTTTCGTTTTTCCAGAAGAAGAATAGGAATAGTACCTCCTTGCGTGCGCAGATCGACTGCTGTTCATCAGCAGTTCGGGTTCGTTCAGTGCGGAGTTTTATTTTTAAAAATATTTTAATGACCTCTCGCCTTTCATTCTAAAGTCAAATTAAACGAAGAAAACAATCACCCTTTCCTCCGGAAGAGGTTTTTTGTCAGCGTGTAACCATTTAAAAAAAGCGTTCATCAGTAATTTATTAAAAAACTTGCTAGTTTCACTTTGATTTTTAAAAACTCAAGTAGGGTAACTCTGTTCGCAAAGGGTGCGCATTTGCGAAGAGGCCGCCACCGAATTTTGAGGACACTTTTTTAATTGGCTCAAAGAGAGAAGTGGACCCTCTTGATGTAGACTCTTTGGCCTAGGGTAACAAACGAAGAAATACCTGATTTTCCCCTCCTTGCCTAATTACAAGTGTCCTGAATGGATGGAAGCCAGTGACGGTGGATGTACCGAAATTTGGGTAGGGCTTAGATTCCTTCCACTTCTTTACCACAAAATAACAGACAATAAGTACAAAACAGTGATGATTTTTCTATACTCACAGTGAGTCACAGCATTTTGAGAACCATTGAAATGAAAAGAATCACCTTTGTCTTCCATCTCTTTTTTCTAAGTTAAATTCTCTGGATGGTGGGCACGAAGCGTTTTCCCATTCAAATTTCTTCTAAATTTCATCTGGTTCAACGTGATTGGCACAAACAATGCACAAACAGCACTTCAAACATTCTGTCTATGGAATGGGAAAAGCTGTGTATTCGCGAAAAATAGAACGCACCTAACAAAGGTCCAATGGGTGCATAGGTAACTGTGTCACTGGGGAAAATGTCTCGTAAACTTTCACCTCATTGTCAGGGATAGGAGAGACTTCCTGTTAGCAGATACGAAAGAAAATATAGCACTGAGAGATGAATTTTTGTCCATTTCAGCGCTTTTTTTTCCCTTTCGAAATGTAAATAAATATAAATATATGTGGGAAAAAAGCGCTACCCTGACTTCAGTATATATGTCTCATATTTTCACTTCTATATTAGGTACACATACATAACTTTCAGCATTTTTTCGCATTACTTGAGACAACTTACTTGGGAAGTTTAAATTATGCTGCTGTTGTACTTTTTAAGATATGACCTTTCAAAGCGGGAAAATTGTTGATTTCATATGACGTCTTCGATATTGCATAATCACTTTTAGAAACCCCAAAGTAATATAATTGGAATAAATCTTCAATATTGTATCGTCATCTGATAGATTATTTTTTAACCTTCAGTTTGATGGGGCATAAGATATGGTTTGTGTGTGTTTAGTTGGATGTTTTGACATTAAATTATCTTTTGGCGGGGTAGGGGCGTAAAAATAGGTCAGGGAAAAGCCCTGGGCCAGTGGTGGATTTTGTCCTGGTAGGGAAAGAGTTAAGGAAGGTCCGTGGGAACGGGCTCATACTTCGCTGAGCTCTAAAGACATTTGATTGGCTGTCAGAACTATAGTTGTAAGTGGTGACAACAGGGATTAGATAAGCAAGCCGCCAAGTTGATCACTCTGTGTTCATTGCGTACCATCATTACAGTTTCAACTGCTTATTTCGTAATTTAAGAAACTTTCATTTACTTTGGGATAGAGTTGGGGGATGGGGAGAGGGGCTCTTAAGCCAGTGAGCCCTTTACTACCCACTAGGGCTGGATTCTGCTCGGTTAATCGAAGGCTTGCAAAGCAGCAGGCGGCTTGCGCTAGAGGCTTGTGATTTGGTTTGCCTCCCGCTTGCTACCGGAGGGAACTTCCGGTGAGTTGTGACTCGCGGACAGTCCTGCTGTACTGTGTCGTGACGTCGCGAACTCTCGTGGCTGTGGGCTCAGTACATATTACAGAAGATTCTCTGGTTATTTGCGTTGAGAGGCTTGCACCAAAAGTTTTTTTCATAGTTCGGTTGTAAAAAACAAAAAGCTCTATTCAATGCACTTAAAAATTAATATTGGATCGGCTATTCTTATGATGTTAAGGCCTGCACGAGCCAAGCGCTTCATCATCGTACGCAAAAGACCTCAGTTCGATTCCCATATGGGGAGACATTTTTACTGAGAACCTCCGTCTTTCTGCTGGGGCGTTGTTCCCTCTCAGCCCAGGTTAGCCCTGACATTGGGTTGAAGTAGGCCTAGCCCGTCTCCTAAATGTTCTGTATTATGTCACTGTGAGTGCAACACATCTACAAAATAGGTTACATACATACGATACAAAAGCCAAACACAACGACCCCTGGAGTTTTCCATTTTAGGGTAATCTAAGTCAACTTATTCTTATTACTACCAGAAACCTAGGTCTCTATTACTACAATACCACGCTCCCTCTCACTTATCCATTCGCTTAGCTGATCAACGGCGGGAAGTTAAAAATAACTTCAGCTCTCTACGCCTTGCACCAAAACAAGCCCAGCTTCTCCCTTCCTCCACGGTTCAAAGTTCACACAGCGAGCAGTACTGCTATTTGAACGCATCGAGCGGTCCCGCGGCGTGCCGCTCACTCGATGTATCGAGACAGTACAAGTCAGCAGGTCAGGTTTAGAACTTGTCCTGGGACAATTCTCTAGGCCTAGCGCAAATCAGTACTGTGAATTGTGGGGCTTGTGGTTGCGGACGGGATTTGAGGCTTGAGGACTGTCCGCTGCTTTGCGCAGGCCTTCGATTAATCGAGTAAACTACAGCGCCACGCCGCGCAGTGACTCTGTGGGCGGAATCTCCCACTCTCCCCCTCTCTCTTTTTCTGACGTAAGTGGCTTCGCGGATTGCAAGCAGGGTGGGGATGATGAGGGGACCTGACACGAGTGGCTTCGCGGATTGCCAGTTGCTGTGGACTTGAAGTTTAGACTAGACCAAGGAGGTTACAGTTTGCGCTAGACTCAACTTATCATGCTGGTGATTTGATTTGATGATTTGACCTAGTGATTTGAGGCTTGTGACTTGAACTAGGGGCTTGCGAGCACGAGCGGGTTTGCTACCGGGGTACAGCCCTACTACCCACAGCCTCTGATGGAGGCATGTTATAATTTTAGGTAGGCTACTCAAGACCAATTAATTAAAAAAATGAAATGCAGCTTGAAATAATCTGTAGACTTAAGATTTTTGAAATTCTAACAAGCATTTTGTTATCAAAACTATTATATCATAATTTTGTGCCGTTAATCTTGAAAATGTGAATATTATCATGTCAGCCACAGGTGTGGAAAATTTTGCTCATTTTGAAACAGGCTTGTGATCAAAGTAGCTAGATTCTAGTATGCTCCTGATCATTTCTGAAATTTTGAGAAAACATACAAAAATGGATCGTCCAATTTTTTTCCCACACTACAGCATTTCAAACTAACTTTTGAGATGCACTTTAAAAAAAAAAAAAAGATGCAGGTCAACGCGCCCCAAGCAGCTGGTGTAGGCCGAACACCAGTGCATGCCGCCTCCGAGCCTTCTCCGAGCCTTCTCCGAGCCTTCTCCGAGCCTTCTCTGAGCCTTCTCTGAGCCTTCTCTGAGCCTTCTCTGAGCCTTCTCTGAGCCTTCTCTGAGCCTACTAAACAGCCTAGTAGAACAGTAGCTAACAATATTTGCCCTCGATTGGCTGCATCTAAACAATTGACTAGTTAGATCTAAACTTCTCAGTTTTAGTGGGCATATAGAGTTTCTCTTTACTCTCAAAAATTTTTTTCCATGAAAATTAAAAAATTTAGTCTTTTAACTCACCCATTCCCACTCAATTTTCATTGAAAAGGCTGTACTGCACGGCAGTTTTAAGGGTATTTAAAAAAAAAATCACCTTGACCAAAGGGATGAAGTGAAAGCCATGCTTTTGCGTGCATGAATATTTTGTGTTTGTGAATTTTGGTGATTTTTTTATACTTAAGCCATAAATTCTACATAATGTCATGTAATTTGTAACTTTTCATACAGCACACAGAAAAGTTATAGTAAAAAATTAACCTTTCACTCTAGAGACTTCCAACTTGGCTTGAATGCAAGGGAAATAACTGTAGATGATTCCCATCACTCACTGTTGCAACTATTGCTTCCCTTTGGCCAAAAAAAAATCAATAAGTTAGAGTTCGCAACAATTGCGAGCACGGGAAAGGGCGGTTCTCCAGCTTTCTCGCAACAGTTGCCAGGTGGGGGACGAGTGAGTTAAAGAATTGTAAAAAAATTTATAAGCCTATATATTTAAAGTCCAACCTTTGGAAAGCCTATTACTG